AACAATTACCCAGGCTGGTAGCACTATCTTACATTAACTTAGACAAACGTCAAAAATCTGTCAAACTCCATACAAAAAACACTAGTTATCGTTTCGTTACGGTCAAAGTTAGGTTCAGCCTAAGTGTTTGATATTCAGAAGTTAACCGGCCATGACAGTCACAGATGAAATAAAGAGTTTTCTTTCTAATATTTCCTTGACAAGCACATCGTTATCTTTTAAATAAAAGTTACTGTTAACTTTAATTAAATTATCCAGTTATAGTAAGCAGAGCGGGAACAATACTACCCTGCGGGAAGCGGTGCCTTTAGTAACTCGCCCCCGGGACGCGACCGATAGACCAGTGATATAAATAATCACACTGTTGGGACTTCACTAGCGGGATAAACAAATGTTTTGCATATCTAAATCATACAGAAGGTCATTGGTGAACGTATTTTACAGGCTCGAGAGTAGAATTATTATTACTCCAGCGTATAATATTATCCGTACAGCATAGATCTGTATTTTCGAAAGAGTTCAATTATGTACTAATAAAATATCTCGAAAGAGTAATCATTAACAAGTTCGATATTAAATAAGCCGGTCTGAAAAGAACTATAATTTTGTCGAGAAGAAACGTTAAGCGTTAGTGAGTTCTAATCAGATAAAGGTTCCGATCTCAGTGGTTACATTCCACACGAAGGAAATTATAAGACAATCGCCAGTAACTTTCCAAATTGGTTCTCCTTTCCCCAAAACAAAATGTAGGAGAAAGCCCTTAAAATTACAAGGCATAGAAAGTTCTCATGAAAATATTACAAGTTTTATTTATGCTAACGCTACGCCTATTGTAATACAAAAGATACATTTGCAAATCTCTGACTACCGGACTCTTTCAATCAAAACACAGACAGTTTGAAACTGGAACCAACTGGCCCAAACTAGTTTCGAATAATATTTATCCTCTATCTGAGAACAGGAGTGAGCTGGCAAGAAGTTTGCGGTCGTACCAAAATCGCCACTGTAAATTGAACTTTATTTTGTAAAGCGTAGGCTGAAATGTAGAGAGTTGGCTAGATTTTTTGCTTTATTCAGACGTGTGAATTGTTTCGTTGATAAGCTCCAAGCAGTACCCTGCTCTATTTTGAGAGGAATAAGGTCGAAGTGAATAGCATAAGAGAGAGTGAGTAGGGGATTCCTCGAATACCTCCCGTCACGCGGTGTCGGTTTACAAAGGCTTCTGAGTTAGATTTAGTTATTTTTAGGATTTTCCGTAGACAACTTTGCGGTTTGACGCGACGAGTGCGAGAAAGTTGGGCTTAAAAATACGTTAGCAAACAGAACCGGGGTAAGAGTGAGGGTAGTTTTGCGAGGCGATTTATAGGTTTTAGGCTCAGTAAACACATCTAAATTTGACTTTACACGACACTTTAAGCAGTTGTACCTATTGACATAGGTAAGGAGATGTCAACAAAAAAAGGCTCAATAAAATTGAACTTAGAGCTAGGTATACATTCATGTAAAATTTTATCAAAGTCAAACATAATTACCTTCTTTTTACTTGACCTTTTCCCTTACATCAAAAATGTTCCCAAGCTCTACTAACCTTTTACATGTACACTGTATGAACTATTAATTTCGGTAGCTATTTACAACTAAAGCTTCCTTCAAGCTCCCGTAAGTTCGTAAGCCACTGTGTTACACCATGAACCGTCTTCACAGTTCTTTTGAAAGCCTTTTGACGTCTTATCTTTTGACACGCGCCTTTTGAACCAGCAGCCTAATGTCATTACTAGGCTAATACGAATTTGATGGTCTGTCCATACGATACAGTCTAAGATAGCTATTTGTATGCTCATAAGTATGATCCCGTTGAATAAATTGTGAGGATTTCTTAAAGAAAACTGTCTTCAATTCAATAACTAGCTAGTAGCTATAATCCATGGCGACAGCTACCAAATAATTTCCTATGGAAGTTATAATATGTACAGTAATCTGTTAAATATTCTAGAATGTCAATGAATCGCTTATTGCCGTTGGTATTGAATGCTAATTGCTCAATTAATATTGGTTTCAAATGTCGTTACTACTCGTATGGGGGTTAATCAGCGAGCTAATTATTGCTGGTAATTAAGGCTTACCGTTTATCACTGACTTAGACCAGTGGCTATCCTAAAAATTATCAAATTAAATACATAATTGTTTTGTATTACTAAATCATTAGATAACAGAGGCTTTTTTCGATGTCTTACATGTTTCAGTCGAACTTACCTTGAATGAAATGAATGAAAATTTAGTACTACAATTTTTATTGGTTCCAAACTATTCATCACTTCTAAATATTTTCTAAGATTAGTTAAATACTATTAAAATTTATTTCACATACGAAACTGACAAAATAGGATTATACAAAACTGAAATGGCACAATTCAGACTAACAACAGCTAGGAATCTAGGATTTAATTCACTCCATCTCTCTTTCTCTCATTGGTTCACCATTCCTTCAGTTTCCATGTGCAAGAAGTCCATTTAATAGCATCTGGTTTTAATCTTTATCCGTAATAACGACTGTCTACCTGTGTATCGTGAGATGACTCAAGGAATAAATTTCAAAAGATATCGGCCTGAATGTCATATCTCTTTTATGCGCGTTTTATATCCTTTTAAGATCCCATATAAAGGTATTTATGTCATGCGATAGTTTATATTGAAAAGCGAAGAGCAACCTATTTATCAATAGAACGTTTTATATTAGTTTCCACGAGGAAAAGTAAAAAAGTCAAAGGAATTATAAATAGACCTTATTACATTAAGGATTTTGTAATTCTATTAAGTTAAAGCCCACGGAGTCGAATCGATAACTTAGTGTTATAGTAACTAACAGAGTCTAACTAAAATACGAGTATAAGGTTGGATCCAAAAATATTCTTCGTTATGGGTCGATACTAACCTTTATATTATTATTCTAGTCAAAGAAGGTAGCTAGCATATAATTATATAATTATAAAGCTTTTCTTGCATCAACGGTAACAGAATTTTTGATAGAAAACATAATTATGTGCTTACGTAAGTTCTTGCTATTCTATTGGAATAATTAATTAGATAATTTAGTAATTACCAGTGCACGCACAGTTGTTAAAAGTCGCCGTACATTTTATCATCTCCATAAACTATACCATTAATTAACCCCTTTAATTAAACAGCACATAATAACCATCCAAATTCCAATCAGAGGCAATGAATGGCAAATCTGAGCGGTGGAATGTAGAATGGCTCGGTTCCGATTTGTACATTAATACAGAGAATCAATCTAATTTGTCAATGAAAGTCAGGAGCAGGCGCTGGGTTAGTGAGAAGCGGCTAAGATGTTGCTGTGCAATACTTCTTGCATTTGCTTAGTGAAATAACAATAAATATTGCAGAGAAAGTTAAAGGTTCTTAAACTCTGATTAGAGTCAATGATAGAGTCACTTTAGGTGAAAACGTTATTAGTTACTGTAAGTGGAAGATCAATTTTCTTTCGACCTCTTGTGGCTGAAATGATAAATATGATGATGATTCTTTGTTAAATAAGCTACTAATTGTATTATTATCTACTTTTAGCCTGCATCATTTTATTTCATTTCTTAAGCAAGCCAAAATATTATGACCTGATTTTGACAATAATTTAGTTAAAACCGCAAGTACACGACTGTCTTCATTTTCCCAGAGGCATATTTGTTTCAACATTATTAAGTAATTCACTTTGGTACAAATAGCAAAATCATCTAAATGTATTTTTTACGAACATTTTTCCTGAAATTCTGAGAACTTTTTGCCGAATCTCGAGCAACATTTTACCGCCATCCAAACCAAATCGGAAGCAATTAACGTCAAATCAGTAATATCGGCCGATACACTTGCTTACGAATTCCAGGTTTTATTCAGGGGCTACTTCCAAAGCGCGAGATTGGATCGGGATTACGAATAAAGTATTCACTCCGGCACAATCGGGCTGCCCCAGGGTGCTATACTAGGTCCGGGCTTATTCAATCTTTATAATTAAGCGGCGAGCAATCAAGGATCTGTGGCGGTGTGGAGTTAGGTTTAGGTTACATTCGGATCGTTCTACTTACTATTTTATGCTAAGTTCCAGTTGCTGTATTTTTATTGTGTACCGTTTTGTCAATTTTAAAATACTAAAGACAATTGCCATAGTTTATCCCAAACAATTTCCCGATAAACATAATGACACAAATTCTAAGAAAAAAGAAATTTATTTTGACCTTTTGATATAAATATATTATTTAATCTACGTCTACTAATATTTTTTAGAGCTGAAATAAAGCAGTTATATTATTTGCATTTTGTCTAAAAAGCAGGTGGAATACAAACGGTTAATAATTATAGTGTTGATAAAAACACATTCATACATGAAACACAATGACCTACATTGCTTTGTATCATTATGTTTTTGTTTAATACTTATCAGTGTAAGCGTTTAAAAAACATGACTGTATTTTTTTGTTAAAAGTTTTATCGATCAACCGTATTTTTTTGTAACTTTTCAAAGTTTTGTGGAATAAGTTTGTTGTGACAACAACTTTTCTACTTTTACCACCAAAGTCACATTTCATAGCGAAAAAGTACCTCGCGGCTGAAAGCGAAAAAAAATAATCGGATTCAAACGCAGTGTCAACCTGCGCTGTAACATCTTGACCCCAACCCCAAAACGCTGCAAGTTAACGCTCCATCAGCCCGATGCAGCATCCACTGCAAGAGTTGAACGACCTACGCATGCGCCGTACCCCCATCTTTTTCGGTCTAAATAGCCAAAGGCTGTCTTAGTGCGCGTTCATTTCGTCTAACTGCGATCAAATTTCGATCTTACTATGTAACAAACTGGATCCTTTTGGAGGTGCGTTCGGTGGCAGCGGGCGGACCGAGCGTCAGTACCTCGCCGGCCCTCGCGAGTCGCGCGCGTTCTATCCCGCCGCCATTTTTTTTTTGCCCGCGAAAAGTTGGAAACTTTCGTCGAGCGTTCGGAATTCGAATGTGGCTTTGGAGTTCGATGCTGTTTTGTTTTTTATGAGAAAAACTATTGTTAAATAGGATTGTGCGTGGAAACGGACAGTGTTGCAGACGGATTTGATGTTGATCCCTTTGTGTCAGGGGTAAGCGTTGTTTTAATTTTCTACATTAGTTGAAGGGTAGTTTATAAAAAAGTTACATAAAACTGTTACGAAATGAAGATTATTCACAAAATCTACTGTTCAAAAATATCAAGCTGGTAATCAGATGAATACTTACCTACTTGCGAAATTTGAAATTCGCAAAACAATAATTGAATATTGTTTTTCAGTGATGAAAACCACTATTAATATTATCGGACAGCAGGGAACATTTTATCACAATTGTTGCATTGTTATTTTTCTCTTTATACGTTCAACATTTACTCGTATGTAGACTTTAATTAAAATACTATCATCGTTATGAAATACGCTATTTTGTCTTTATTTAAATGCATTCTCCTATAAAAAAATTGACGATGAAATAGGAATGCGGATTTTTTGCAATTAACACGTAAAAATAAATAGAAACTCAATTTGTACATTAATTTCTTTTGACTAGTAAGATCGTCGTTCTGTCTCCTTCCTAAAGTTGCTGTGCCCTAACTGGGTCCACATTGTATAACTGCCTAAATTGTAAGACCTATAAATGTGAATGCTAATGTGGTTATGCAATAAAAGTATTGAGTATTGAGTATTGAGAAATTACCGATTAAAAAAATATTTCTTTGTAGGTAACGTAAAATTAAAATGTATTTCATAATCTGTCAAGGAAAAAACGATAAGATTGTTATTATCACGGTTTTTAAAAAGAAGACTTGCGTGATAAAGTATTTCTGTGACAAACCGGCACAAGCGGCAAAATATTTGTCAAAGAAAATTATGTGTCAAAGTTTGTAGTCCTTATTAAAACTCATAAAACTCATTTATTTTTGCAACTAGGCTTTTAAAAGGCACTTTTACACGTCCCAGTATTAACCCTACTATTTTTCAGTAACCAAGTCTATTGGCGGCACAGAATATTTTATCACGCATGATAAAGGTATCAAAAATCACGTAAAGTTGACAATAAAACAAAATAACATGACCGCGATATGTCAGCATCGGACAGTCGAACCACGGTAATACTATCTATACAGTATTCCAACTCGGCCATATTTTTGAAATAAATGTCAACAGCCGCGCGGTACGTCACGGCATGACAACATGCGATAGGGCTGCCCACCTACAGTACCCATTCTATTTACATCTGTCTACTTAAAATTTCTATCTAGTTTTGCGATTGTAATTTTTTTTTATTTATACAAACAAAATACTTTGTGAATGGAATAGGATAAAAATGCGTGTTGTTTTGTGTTAGTAGATTTAATTTAAAAAAATATACTAAAATAATTTTGGATCTACTAATCATAATGAGTACTTAATGACCTGTTACTTTAATTTCAGGCGGATGAAGTCGTGGGCAAAAGCTGGTTTAATACAATATAATTTTTATTTCAAATCAAACTGACTGAAAATGACCATTTTTGACTGTCAATAACTTGTTTTTTACAAATTTGACCGTAAATGACGGTAGTCAAATTCAATCACCTTAGTCATTTTCAACACTAGCTAGGCCATCGACGTCCGTTCGGCACGTTCGCGACACCCCTAACCCTAACTTTTGGATTTCGACCGCGTCCCGAGATTTGAAATTCGAAGGAAAGCTCGCGTTTCGTCGGTTTATATGAAGTTATAATACTGTATGATATTATTACCGTGGTCGAACCAATTCACGTACTTTAAAAATTGATTCCGACGTAATCAGGCTCGCATTGAGTCGGCAAATCGGCTCATTCGTGTGAAGTATTGCGAATTACCATACTTAAGTGAAAATCAATTCAATTATTCATGAAGGTAAGAACCATTTTCGAGTGTTTACTTTCCCACTTACCATAAGTGGGAAAGTGTGTGAAAGGAATCTTAAAATTTGAATAAAATTAGGAGTAAAATAATAGTTCGAAGTGTATTTTTGTCTTGTGCATCTTTACGGGATTAAAAAAGTTTCCATCACTAGGTCAAACTATTACGGTTTACCTATAATTTAACTGAGCCTGCAGCACAATGCCCGATAAATGAAGCTCCGTGTGAGTAAATAAAGCCTTATAGTACATAGAGTATCATCATACAGAAGGAATTGTTTTGACAATTTAATTCTCTTTAAAATATTAAAACACATGGCCAATGATATTTTATCTCACAAATTGGTATGGCATATTTTATTTACCGTGCTTAATGGCGTATAATTATAGTAGCCCCACAGAAAATGTTTTAATTGTGGAGTTCCAATGAAACGAGGCCGCTTTATTTGAATACGTGGGTTTATTCCATGAAGATCTTTTCACGTTGTGTTAATAATTAAATTATTATCATTTTTGAATTATTTAAACTTCAATTAAAATGTATTATAAAAGCCTTACCTGCTTATAAAGTCCCGTTTAATTTTATTTGATCCTTTTATTCAATATAACTTGTTATACAATTTAACTTGTTATAGGTTGAAATTACAATAGCCACACAGCAAATTATAAAGAAGTTTTTACCTTTGACATTAAAATATGCTCAAATACAATTTATCTACCAGCAAAATATGTCTCGTGAAAAAGCTATCGAATCTTTACGCAAAATCGTACGATTAAAGCGTTACCGCTAAATCACGTATTATCGGCGACGCCACTTATCGGCGCGGTCAGCCGGAAACCGGCAAACGCCGCGGTATTCGCCTTAAACAGGTCACATTTCGTCTTAATACCTCGGAATAAGTGCTATTTTGTGATCATTCAAAGATCATATTTGTTATTCTATCATTCATTATGGTTTTGGAAAGCGCAAAAGGGTAATTAAACCTTCATAAAACATTTTATAAAGTATCGAAACGAGCTAATTAAATAAATAACGTAAATAAATATACAACTTGTCATTATATTGCTACGCACGACGCTATGGTGCTACGGCGCTACACCATGCTACACTGCTACGGGCTACACTGCTACGGCATACTATGAGGTTGTCAAGTTGAAGTCCATGCTACGAGAAATAATTCGATCAGGATAAAAAGATATTGAAAACGTGGGCCAGCTTAAAAATTAATAAAAGCTTTTTTAGGGTTCCGTAGTCCTGACAAGGAACCCTTATTTAGTACGTCACGTCACAATCCAGAATTACATCAATTTTAATCATTTTTTTCCGTTCACTTTGCCTCTCAACCCTAACAATACATGAGATATGTCAAAAACAGGCTCGGGCATAAATAATTATGTCGGAGAATAGACGCGCAGTGACTTCTTGTTTAAATTTGATTAATACAGGAAATTATACGAGGGCAGATTTAATTAGTTCACATTTTATTAAGTAGGAAGTAAATACGAAACTTTTGAAAATGTGTACAACTACAACTATGTGAAACTTGTCACTTCCCATTAAAAATATTGATGCCGTGTAACCTTTACATAGACATGTTGTATAATTCTATTTTAGTGCCCCCACAATTTCTTATTATATAATAGTTTGGTAAGAGCAAATTTACATAGAAATTGACTTCTTGTTTGTTTTCTACCACATAGATTCAAAATAGAAAACTTTAACCTCCTGGGGCCCAGGAATTATTTTTATCGTGAATTCATATGAAAACTATCCAAATAGTATTAATAATTGATATAATTATCTTAAAAAATAAAATAAAAATTTTTATCTGGAAAACGGCAATTTTCTCAATGTCATATATTTACGACATCGGTTCCCAATGTCAACGACTTTTTTATTTCATGTACAGGATGTCCCGAAATAAATTGCACAAAATTAATCCTAGTTAAGTTTCTTGACTACCTACAACGAATTTGAATCGATTTTTGAAATATATTGAGATGCCAAAAATTTTTTGTACATATTTTTAATTTTTTTTCTGCCTGTACTTACTTTTTTTTATGCAGTGGATCCAAATATTGATATTTTTTAAGTACCTTTTCGTTAAAATGTAGCTAGATAGATTCTTTATCAAGTTTTATGTCATTTTTGGGCAATAACATTGCATCTCTATTTTTTTTTAAATAGTATTTCAAAATTTTATTGCATTTCATATGGATGACCCAAATTAAAAAATCCTCGTGATAAAAAAATGCATCACACCAATGTGTAATTAACATTAAGTGATGTAGATAAGGTCAATAGCAATAAAAAAAAAAATAAAAAACAATTTGATTAAGTGCCTAATGAAATTATATTAATTTCATAAAAAAAATCAAAGTGACTTGAGGTGTTGATAATACTTCTGGGCCGACTTTACCAGTAAAATCGAGTTTTGAGTGTTCTTATATGTTATATTCGCTTATATCTACCTAAACAAATAAGAAAATAATATCAGATTGTATGCTATTTAATAGAAAATGTATAATGTCATACAGGTATTACACTGGGCTCTGACAGTTTACACTAGTAATTGGGACCTCATGTAATACCTGTATGACATTCAGATTTCACCATGGTTTTCGTAGTTTTCATACGTATTTCCACAATCAGTGATACTCAGATAATAAAACAGTTCAAATCCCAAAACGAATAATAACAAAGGCTTATAGAAATCGTTCATATGTATTTTAGTAAAAATTTCATTATTACTAACCACTTGTTCCCGGTCGCGGCGCCGTCGCTAGTTCAATTAAAGATAAAAACATACAAATGTCACTTCACTAGCCAATCACAGCTAAGAATGATGGACAGATGCACCATCTAACTAACTAACGTAAAAGTTCTGGTAAATTTCAACAGATAGCGTTGATTTATATTTTTTTGTTTTATGTAATAAATATATGACGCCAGGCCCCAGGAGGATAATTAGAATGAAATAACTCATTTTCAGTGTATAATATTATTATAGTATTAAAACCTGAACTTAAGCTGTCAAAAGTTGGATAACCAAACTTGTACGCCATTAATCACATCTTCTGTCAATAATAAAATAAATCAGTGTATTGGACATTTTTTCTAAATAATAATTACTCAATAAAGCGTAAATAAAAACTGGCAAAAGTTGAATTGAGCAAACTAATACGCATTTAGCCTAAACCACG